TGTAAAAAAAAATAAAAAATCGCCAGACAGTTTGTGTAGCAATAGGTCCAGGTGGGGGCGGAGTCAAGGAGGGACAAGTGAGAGCTTTGCCACAACCTAGGTCAACAGGAAAAGCTGGCAGCATTCATGGGCAATAAAGATGAAATGGTAGGGTGGGGGATGGGGCAGGCTAAAAAGGGTCAATGGGGGAAATACGTAATACTTTCGACAATAAAGATTTATTTATTTTTTAAAAATATATTTTATTGATTTTTTTACAGGGAAGGGAGAGGATAGAGAGCTAGAAACATCGATGAGAGAGAAACATGGACCAGCTGCCTCTTGCACACTCCCCACCGGGGATGTGCCTGCAGCCAATGTACGTGCCCTTGACCGGAATCGAACCTGGGACCCTTCAGTCTGCAGGCTGACGCTCTATCCACTGAACCAAACCGGTCTATGCTCAACAATAAAGATTTAAAAAAATAGCTGAAGCTGGTTTGGCTCAGTGGTAGAGCGTCGGTCTGCGGACTGAAGGGTCCCAGGTTCGATTCCGATAAAGGGCATTAACACTGGCTGCAGGCACAGCCCCGGTGGGGGTGTGTGCAGGAGGTGGCTAGTCGATGTTTCTCTCTCATCGACGTTTCTAACTCTCTCTCCCTCACCCTTCCTCTCTGTAAAAAATCAATAAAATATAAAAAAATAGATGAAATGGTGGCTAGGCTTACGGTTGGCTAATACAATTATTATGCTCCATAATATATATTATGATAATACTAGAGGCCCAGTGCATGAATTTGTGCATGGGTGGGGTCCCTCAGCCTGGCCGGTGATTGGGGCTGATGGGTGGGGTGGTGGTGTTGCTGGTGGTGGGACCGTGGGAGGTTGGACCCAGCAGCAAGCTAAATGGCCGATTTTGTAAGGAATTGAGTTCCCTCTTCCCTCCTGGCTAGGTCTGGGGTGCAGGTGAACCAGATTTGGGGCTGATGGGCCCCAGCAGCAAGGTCTGGATCAGTGTGTGTCATAGCTACTGGTAGGTCGTTCTGGTCATTCTGTCGCTTAGGTTTTTATGTATACAGATTATATTACGTTAGTAGTTTACACTGTAAAGCACGTGTCAAACACAAGGCCCGCAGGCCAAATCCGTCCCGCCAGGCCTTGCAATGTGGCCCGCACCGCGCTGTCATCACTGCACTCCGCTGCGTTTCCATCACAATGACAGTTTATGACTGTTCAGTAAACCATTCGGCCCGCAATTTAGGCTGGATTTTAGATTTTGGCCCCTTCTCTGATTGAGTTCGACACCCCTACTGTAAAGTGTTTATCATGTATTAGGGACTCACATGTTAATTCATTTATCCTTACTACCTCTACAAGAGGTACTTTTAAAATCTCCCAAAAATAAAATAAAATCTCCCATTTATAGAGAAGGAAACTGAGGCACAGAGAGGTGAGGCAGCTTGCCCAAAGGCACATGATAGTAAGTGGCAGAGCTGGCACCTGAGCCCAGGCAGCCTGGCCCAGCACCCAGGCCCTGACCACAGTAGCCCAGGGGCTCTCAGAGATGAGCACAGGGAAGATGGAGCCCGAGGAAGAAACACCCCCCAAAGCCCACAGAAATGTCTCTGCGGGCAAGCTGGAAAGCAATACAGTCAGAGTTCATAAAGAACTGGATAGCCTGGTCGGGGAGCTGCTGGTTAGAGTGTCGTCCAGATAAATCAAGGTGGCGGGTTAGATCCCTGATCAGGGCACATACAAGAGTCAACCGACAAATGCACAAATAAGTGGAACAACATATTGATACTTCTCTTGCAAATCAATAAAACAAAGTAATTAATTAATATCTTAAAAAGAGAATTGGATATCCAGAATCTACCCATCTGAAGCTGAAAACTGTAGGGCTGGACTTACCAGGTGCCACTGCTGTGGGTATTTGGGGTCATTGAAGTGGACGCTGCGCTTGGCTCGCTTTAGCAGTTTCTGCTCTGAGTGCCAGTGCACAGCTTCATGTCTGGCTAACACGGCCTCTGCCTGCTGCCGGATGGCCTCTGCCTGCTGGTCTGAGTGGTGCCCAGCTGGGTGGACAAAGAGGTAGTGCCCCTGGAGCTCCCCGATGCGCCCAGCATTCACCAGTCCTGCTGCCCGGGCCAAGGCGTCTGCCTTTTGCTCCGCAGTCTCCTCCTGCCCCTTGCCTTCCAGGTTGTCCAGATGCACAGCCCAACTCAGCCCCCCTGGGCTCCGGGCCTCAGGCCCACCGGTCCTTGGCAGGCCCATGACCCAGGGAACCAGTAAGAAGAGTCCAGCTAATTCCAGCCAGAGGCAGGTGGGCAAGCCCAGGGGGGCATCCAAATGTGGCACTTTCTGCCTCCCCTTCTGCATCAGAACAGTAGGCTGCAGACAGAGAAAGGACATGGGAGGTAAGAGAGCATCCGAGAACTGCGGGATCTCAGAGGGGGACAGAGCCCTCAGGGTACAACGGGAAACCCCAATCCGATCCTTTTAACGAGGAACATGTGATTCCCTCTTTGTATTCAAATTCATCTCTGACCACCAGGGACAGCGCCAGGTGGAGTGTGGGCCAGTACCAAGCGCAGCGAGCAGCTCCCTGGTGCAATGGACCAACCCCGTCTCACTAGCAGCGGGTCAGTGTAACAGGCACCAGGCTGCTCTTGCCAGTCTGCCATCAAAAGGGCTCAAAGGTCGCACCACTCCCACAAATGACTGGCAGAATCAGGACTGCTCTTTAGCAGAGATCCTCCTCCCTTACAGGGAGAGATGAGAATCTTCCCCAGCGGCCTTCTAGGCCAGCGGCCCTCAGGGTAACTCCCCGCAGGGGGCCCCATTCCCACCTGGGCTCTACACCAGGCTGAGCTCCGGGTCTGGCTAACCACTTCTCGCTCATTTTGTGCAGCTGGAGAAAACGCATCACTTTCACTTCTGCTGACTCGGCACAGAGTGGAGACCTGCGGATGGACCCTGAGAAGAAAAGAAACGGTATCCTCCCAAACCCAGGGGAGCAGACAGACGCTCACCCTGAACTCCAGGACCTGCAACCAAAGACACTGCCAGTCACCAAGTGTCACTTCCAGGGACCTCAAGGCATAGACTGGGACTGAACCCGACAGGAAGGCCAAATCAGCACAAAACCAGAAACTCTACTTCTTGTCTTAACATTGTACCACACTCTCTTCTTTCTTTTCTTCCAAAAGCCAGAAGAGGCTTGAACTATTACCAAAACTCCACAACTGACTAGTGTGGTTCAGCTGGTTGAGTGTGGTCCCTGACCAGGCACATGCCCACATTTCAGGCTCAATCCCCAAGAGGGGGCTTGCAGGAGGCATTAAAAAAAAGAAAAAGAAAAAAAAAGTATCAATAGGTAGCAATGCTTCCTGGAAGGTGGTAGCTAACTTCCTGACTTCCCTATCTGAAGGATGCCAGGGGAAGTGAGAGTGGGCAGGAGGCAGGGGAAATGGGGAAAACCTGAGAACGCAAACGCAGCTGAGCAGGCATCAGGGCAAGGGGGCCACCAGGAGAGGGGAAATCACTGGCGCGCAGCAGGACAGCGCTGCCCTTCGTCACTAGCTCAGCAGGTTGGGTTGGAAGGGGAGTCTCAGGCTTCAAACCCGGGAATAACATCCCTAGTTTGGCAGAAGGGCCAGATTGGAACTAACGGGTGAGACAGGAACAGGTGAATGGTGCCCAGCAAGGGTGCACCTGTGCGTGGCTGGGCCCTGGGCGAAGCCTCTGCCCCGCTGGTGGGGCGCTGAGGCAAAGCGGAGTCCTCACACGGAGAACTGACTCAAAGTGGGTCTGACTGCCAAATGGGTCTGACTCAAAACGTTACAGAAAGTGGGTGCTTTCCCAAAGGGAGAAGGGAACACCTCCCTCCGAAGTTCTGCATTCCCTCTCCTCTCTGCTCCTCTGCGGTTCCCAGCCACGGTCTCCTCACAGTTCCGCCTTGCAGCAGCCCCCTCGGTCCCGAGCTGCCCGGGGCCTGGCGGGTGTGCACAACCACTAAGGAAAACAAAACCTTGTCCCTCAGCCAGGCAGGGACACACCTAGGCAGGCTCCTTCCGCCTCGGGGTGCAGGCTCCGGAGAAGAGAAAGCTGACCACTCTCCTTCCCTCCGGCCGGAGCCCTCCCCCCAGGCTCCCCGGAAAGGAACCGTGAGGACCCCGAGAGCAGGTCTTCGCCTCCTCCACTGCAGGCGCACCCCGACAGCGCCCAGGTGCCGCGGGAGAGGAGGTCCAGGTCCTGGGTTAGTTTAAATTAGTTAACTAGTCCAGGTCACTAATCCAGGTCCTGCTCCCCAGAGGCTCCCGCACACGCTCCGCGCCCGGGACCCCGCGCCCCGCCACGGCGCCTCTCCTTACGGGGACCGCGCGGTCCGGGCCCGGGCCCCGGGCGCTCCCGCCGGACTAGAGGCGCCCTGTGCAGCGCCCCCGCCCTCGGACCCCGATACCCGCCCCGGGCCACCAACTTCCTAGCTCCGTCCGACCGAGCCCCAACTCACCGGCGCGGCCCGCCGCCTCCCCGCGGAAACTCGCGGCTTCCCGGGCGCCCGAGCCCCTGACAGCGGCGTCACTTCCGCCCGGCGCCGCAGCCAATCAGGCCGCGCGGCCGCAGCCGGCGGCGCGGGGGCCGACCCTCGGGCCTCTCCCGGGAGCAGCGCGCGCCGCGGCCGCCTCCTCGCGGGGCCCCGCCGTCTCCAGCCCCCGGGCATCTCCCAGGGGACCTCCCCGGAGGCGTCGTCTTCCCCACAATGTCCTCTGGAAAAGGCATCTCGGTCGCAAGCACATCGTTCCTCTCCTCAGACGGCCGTGGTCCCCCCAGCGCCTGAGTCCCTCCTAGAGCGGCTCCCTCCAACGCGTCTCCTTCCTTCTCGCGACAGCATCTTCTTCCTCCTCGCATCCCTGCGTCCCTGCGAGTCCGCCTGTGGCTGAGGGGCTCCCGCACGACCGCGTCCCCTCGGCAGTGCCGGCTCTGGCCGCCAGGGGCGCCGTCGGGGGCGGCCGGGCCCCCGCGCCGCTCCTCCTGCGGCCGCGCCCCGCCCCCTCCTCTCGCGCCGCCGGAAGTGGGAGGTGCGCCGCCGCCAGCGCTCGGCCCTCCCCCGAGGCCCGGCCGCCCCCTCCCCCGCTCCGCCCGCTCAGGTGCGTCCCTTCCCTCCCCTGTCCCTTCCCGGGGGCACGGAGCCCAAGTGGGTGGGGGTCGGCGCGCGGGCCCGGGTGCGACGCGGGGGCGGGAGGCGAGTGGGGGGCGTGGAGGCGCCGGGAGCTGCGAGCGGGGGTCCCGGCCTAGGAGAGTGGCGGGGCTGCCCGCGGAGTGCGAGCCGAGGGGAGGGTGCGGAGGCGCCGTGCCCGCGGTAGCCGCCCGCGTAGCGGGTTGGAGGGCGGCGGTGGCCCCCCGGCGCTGCTTCCACCCATTGTTCCTTCGCGTCCGCCCCGAGGACCCGGCGCTCCCGCCGTGGCCGCCTCGGCGGTGTGGCCCCGGGCTGCGGGGCGGGCGTCCCTCGGCACTTCCTGCAGCCCGCCGTGCGCCCCCGCCCCGGGCGCCCCCCGCACCGGCTCTGCTGCGCGGCCGTGCTGGCAGGACCCGTGCCCGGTGGTTCGGTTACGGCCCCCGGGCTGTGCTGGGGCAGGAGGCTTGCACCTGAGGGTGCAGTAATGGCGATTTGGGGGCCCATTTTCTCCTAGGACCTTAGTATAATGGGGAAACTGAGGCCCGTGACTGAAGGGTTGACACAGCGGTCTCCATGATTGCCCTATGGGCTCTTGTAGGTTCCGGGGTGTATCTGTGATAACTATTAAAATCAACTAATTTAAACCCTATGTTACATACCCCTCTCCCCCTATTTTATTTCCCCATAGAAGGCCATGAGTTTGTCTTGCAACATAAAAGATGACCTTTTGATCAAAGAACGTCATCTGTTCCGGTTCCCGTTTCTTGGTTTTCCCTGTTTTCAGCTCGTTGTCCTGCTGGGGTAACCCAGGTTCCCACCCTCTTGCACCCCTGTAGTAACTTGGAAGGACCTGTCATCGGTCAGTGGTTATCAGACGTACCCCTCCCTGGGGAGCGCGCTGACAGTAAAAGATACTTGGGTTGCCCAATACAACATTGCTTTTCCTTAAAACTTCTCTTACATTAATGGAGAATGCTTTTAATTAACAGCAATAAAATGATTTTAAACAGTATTGTTGATACCAGGCCAAAAATTGCATCCTTTGTAAATGGTATTAGGCAAGGTGGGTGTGTGGGCCATTTGAAAGATTCTCCCTGGCTCTAGTTTGATGTTCTAAAGCAGTGTTTTTCAACCTTTTTTGGGCAAAGGCACACTTGTTTCATGAAAAAAATCGCGAGGCACACCACCATTAGAAAATGTTAAAAAATTTAACTCTGTGCCTATATTGACTATATATAAAGTAATTCTCTTGAATAGGAATCAAATAAACACAAAGAAAGTTTTTTATAATTACTTTATTATGAAATATTAAGTAAACAAAATAGTGAAAAATTATAAAATTCTTGTCTTGTCTGCACCTACGGCACACCAGGCAACATCTAGTGTGCCGCGGAACAGCGGTTGAAAAACGCTGTTCTAAAGGACTGCATTTCTGCCAAAAGTGAAAAGAGCTTTGCACACCCTCCTAGGTATTTACATAAATATGGTGGCTCCTGAGGATTGATTGGCTGGGACCTGTTTGCCTATGATGGCTAATACCAGTGCTGTAGAATAAACACTCAGGTGTTTCTCCCGGAGCCAACTTTCTTTCCCCGGAAAATTGTTGTGTGGACATTCTGAGGGCAGAAGAACATTATTTTTAAAACGTGAAGCCAGTAGCCTGTCATTTGTTTCTGGATGTACAGAGCATGATGGCAGCGTCCGAGGTAGCTGGTGTGGCCAATGCCCCCAATCCTCCGGAACCCTCCTCTAGTCCCTGTGCTTCCAAATCAGAAGAAGGTCTGCTAGATGGTCTAAGGTAAGGTAGGGGTTCTTGACTTGGAAGATTTTTTTTTGGGGGGGGGGGTTGGGTAAGGGCCTCTTACAGAAGTGTAGCTGGTCTTTCCTCTTTCTGGCTTTAGTAGCACTGTGCTAGATTAAGCTTTTTAAAGGTAAGGACTAGTTGATCTGTGTTTGTATTTCTTTTTTAAAAAAAAATATTTTATTGATTTTGTACAGAGAGGAAGGGAGAGAGATAGAGAGTTAGAGACATCGATGAGAGATGTGCCTGCAACCAAGGTACGTGCCCTTGACCGGAATCGAACCCGGGACCCTTCAGTCCCCAAGCCAACGCTCGATCCATTGAGCCAAACCGGTTTCGGCTATGTTTGTATTTCTAACAGTGTCTGACGCTCAGCAGACATGAGAACATTTGTTGACGGAATACAGGTGGTCAAACTCATCCAAAAGTGAGAGTATATCCTCATTCTATCCTACATGGATTATATGCTCACTTAAGTATGTGTTTGTATATTATACATATGTATATTCACATATGCATCTTCTATATAACATATATACTCACAGGTACACACATGTGTGTGTATATATATAGAGTTAATTATGAGTTTGTGTTTATATATCTGTGTCTATAGATAGCTTTGGTAATATGGCTTACTGCTTTATGTATATACTAGAGGCCCAATGCATGAAATACGTGCAAGAATAGGCCTGCCTTCCCCTGGCTGCCGGCGCTGGCTTCCCTCTGGCACCCAGGACCCAGGCTTCCCTCAGGCCACCGGCAGGCACCTGAGACCCATGCTTCCTTCGAAGCCCCGGTTTCGTCCATCCAAAAGGTCGTCTGGAAGGACATCTGATTTAATTAGCATATTACACTTTTATTATAGATTTTGCCTTCCATGTGAACTCTTGAGGGATGGATTATGATTACCCAACCATCTATGTTACTTTGCTTGGCACAGTGTATGTATAGGGTTGCATTAACTTGACCGTATAGTCTATTTTAGCTCTTTTCTAGAGTACATAGGACTTAACACAATATATAATACTGTACTAACAGCTTTATATATATTAACACATTTAATCCTCCCAACAATACCAGGAGGTAGGTGCTAATATTATTCCCATTTACAGGTGAGGAAACTGAGACGCAGAGGTTAGTAACTTGCCCTAGGTTACCAAGCTACGTTGGAGTCAGGGTTTGAACCCAGGCTTGTCTGGTTCCAGAGTACCCATGCAAATATTTGTTTAAATGAACAGAAGTTTGCTAGTGAATGGGTAATGGGGCAAATGTTAAGTAAGCCTAATCATAAACTTGGATCTTCATTTTATAAATAAAATCAGCCACATACTGCTAGTAATGATATTACCAGTTAAGGTTTATTGAGTGTTTACTATGTGCCAGGCACTGTACTAAACACTTAAGTAACATTGTCTCATGTAATCCTCACATATTTGTAATAGGTAAGTAGCATTTTAAAAATGAAGTAATTTGCCCAGAGTCAAACAGCTACTAAACAGAGTCAGCATTCCATCCAGTTACGGCACATGCCCAAATTTGTAATCAGGTGCCCCCTCGTCCCTCAGTTAACTCCCAGCACGGAATCAGCTCGGAGCATTTATAGATTTTCATAATGTAAGATGCTCTCTCAGTTGTTTTATTTTAATTTAATTTTATTTATTTTTTTAAATATATATTTTATTGATTTTACACAGAGAGGAATTGAGAGGGACAGAGAGTTAGAAACGCCAATGAGAGAGAAACATCAACCAGCTGCCTCTTGCACATCCCCCACCGGGGATGTGCCCGCAACCAAGGTACATGCCCTTGACCAGAATCGAACCCAGGACCTTTCAGTCCGCAGGCCGACGCTCTACCACTGAGCCAAACCGGTCCCAGTTCAGTTGTTTTATTTTGAACAGCAAGTACTGTTAAGGAAAGCAAGGATAGTGAGCCGATTCCTCATTCTAGTGTGCGGTGCTTGAGGACATCAGTTGACAAAGCCAGTTTTTAAAAAAAAGAAATTTAACACAGATTTAGTCATTCCTGGATGAAAAATTTGTAGTTGTGAATGTTGGATATCACTGTAAATAGGTTTTAAAGATCTCTTTAAAAACCAATATGTTGCCCTGGTTGGTGTTGCTCAGTGCTTAGTGTGTCGGCCAGTATACGCACCAAAGGGTGGCAGGTTCAGTATCCGGTCAAGGGCACATACTTGGGTTGCAGGTTCGATCCCTGGCCCTGGTCCGGGTGTATGCAGGAGGCAACCCATCTCTCTCCCTCCATCCCTCTCTCCTTCCCTCCTTTCCTCTCTCTCTGAAAGTCAATGGAAAGAATATTCTTGGGTGGGATTAACAAACAATAACAACAAAAACACAATATGTTAAGTCTGTGATAAACAATAAAACAACTCTCCCAGTGTTGTACATGTATGTACTTGTCTGGGATAAAATTTCTATTGACAGCTTCAGTTTTGGATTCAAACGTGTTTGTATCTCACACAGCCTGAAGAAAACTCTGCTCTGGAAAACTCCAAGAACCTAAAAAGTGGTTCTGGTCAGAGATCTGTATAATGAGTTTGAATGAAAATTACTTTTGTGAAACTTGAGAGTGGAATAAAAACTTACTAAATTGATGTTTTATTAAAATATATGTAACTAAATTAATACATGTAACTAAATGAAATATTCTAACTAGCATTAGGCTATTTCCTCTGAAAATTATTCAACTTGTCCCTCAAAGATTTTTGGATTTTCAGTCACTTATGTGTCATCAATAACGAGACTGTCTCTAGAATCTAGGTTCTTTTTTAAAAAAATAGATACTTTTATAGACTTGAGAGAGAGGGAGAGTGAGAGAAACATCAATGTGAGAGAAAAACATTGATCGACTGCCTCCTGCATGCCCCTTACTGGGGATCAAGCCCAAAACCTGGGCATGTGTCCTGACTGGGAATTGAACTGGCAACCAACTGAGCCACACCAGCTGGGGCCAGAATCCAGGTTCTTAACCACCAAGCTATGCTCCCTGCATGTGGGATAAAATCTCTGGGTAGAAAGGAAATTCCTTTTCATTTTGATAACTTGAGGGGTTTATATAGTCCAGTTTTGTTCTCTTAGTGATTGTGTTAGAAGTATTGTGTATTTCACCCTCTTTAAGACTGGGTGAAGAGAGAAACTTTTTGTCTTGTGTTTTGGCAGCCCCAAAGACCCTGCACAGAAGCACAAGAACTCACCTCCGTCAAGTGTAAGTAGCCAAACGGTAACCAAGGAGAATAACAGAAATGTCCATTTGGAACAACCAGAGCAGAATCCTGGTTCGTCAGCAGGTGACACCTCAGCAGCACACCAGGCGGTTTTAGGAGAGAACTTGATAGCCACAGACCTTGGTCTTTCTGGCGCTGGGTCTCAGTCTGATTTGAAGGACGTGGCCAGCACAGCAGGAGAGGAGGGGAATCCGTGCCTCGGGGAGAGCCTCCATCCTGTCACTCGGTCTCTTAAGGCAGGGGGCCATGCAAAGCAACATGCCTCCGGGAATTGTCCTGAAGAGAAGTCCCCACAAGCCTCCATCCTAAAGGAAGGGAGCAGGGACACAGGCTTGGATTTCCGACCTGTAGTACCTCCAGCAAATGGGGTTGAAGGAGTCAGAGTGGATCAGGATGATGATCAGGATAGCTCTTCCCTGAAGCTTTCTCAGAACATTGCTGTACAGGTCAAGTATCAAAGTTTCTACTATTACAATGGAATTTGGGCTTTTTTATTTATTTATTTATTTTTAGGAAAGGGACATTTCTTCATGGTTGGTGGAGACTACTGTTTATCTTTTTTTTTTATTGGCAGCTGCATACTATTTCCTTTGGTGCTATGTGATGGCTTCATCCTGGTGTCCAAGAAATAGTAAAGCCAGGAGCCATTGCCTAATTGTGGTGACTAGGAACCTGACAGGCTCCACGTAATGTCTCTCGCTGAGTAATGATGAGTGTAGCCTCTGCATCTGGGCGTTCTGGGGGCTAAGTGCTTCCTGCAGGGTGCACGTCAGCATCCATTACCAGAGCGGCAGTGCTGCTCTTGCTGTGCAGCCAACATGTTGGCCTCTTCGTTGCACAGATTTTAGGTGAAAGTAGGAGAGCAATTCTCTCTTTTCAAATGCCACTGACCAGTTCTGAGTATGCTGTTTCTGTCTTTGTAGACTGACTTTAAGACAGCTGAGTCAGAGGTAAACACAGATCAAGATATTGAAAAGAATCTGGTAAGTCTTTGAACTGTCATTGTTGATATATGAATGTATTAATGCAGAAGATCCAGTCATGTGACCTCAGTCAGAAAAGATGCAGGAGTCACCTTTATAAAATTCCCGACGTTAGTTAGCTAACTTCTACTTGATCACTTCCAGAGATCAAGTTCACAAAGCAGCCTGTTGCATTTTTATTTTTTAAAATACGTTTTTATTGATTTCAGAGAGGAAGGGAGCAGGAGAGAGAGATAGAAACATCAATGATGAGAGAGAATCATTGATCGGCTACCTCCTACACACCCTCCCCCCCACTGGGGATGGAGCCTGCAACCCAGGCATGTGCCCTTGACTGGAATCGAACCCGGGACTCTTCAGTCCGCAGGCCAATGCTCTATCCACTGAGCCAAACCGGTTAGGGCATGTTGCATTTTTAAAATAGCTCTTAATGTGATATCTCATTCTGGGATAAGGACAGAACCTCTAAAACTTGTAATTTTTCCTTGAGCTACGTAAAGTAAATCTAAATCCTCTTTTGCTTGCTAACCCTACGTATTTTTTTCGAGGGGGAAGTGCGCTCCCTCGGTGTATGCCCTGGAAGGTTCTCCCGTGGACCCGCAGAACCTTCCCCGGCCGGTGGTGCTGGAGGAACACGGTGGCGACTGTGTGAACTGATGACAGAGCTGGACTGGCATCCGCCGGGGAGGCTGGTCTCCAGCTGACCTGCATTTCCAGAGCTGTCCAGGAATCTGGTCTCCTGGTTCAAAAGCAATGTGACCAAGATTCTGAGGACACCTTAGCCAAGCTGCAAGCTGAGGCTCCTTCCAAAAGCCTTGCTGAGACAGCCAAGGAAGCCGAGGAGGATTGAATTCAAGAGCTATTTGCTAGATCTTGTTCCAGGTACTTGGGACACAGCAGAGAACAAAACTAAGGTCCCTGCCTTCATGGAGCTTATAGTCTAGTGTTTAGGACCACTTTGCCTGCACACTGTGACCCTGGACAAGTCATGGCACTTCTCTGCTCCCCTGGCCCTCAGCTACCTGATGCTGAAAGAAGTGGGCCCAGCCCAGCTGGTGTGGCTCTGGTTGAGCATCGACCTATGGACCAAGATTCCTGGTCAGGATACATGCTTGGGTTGCAGCCTCAATCCCCAGGAGGGAACCTACAGGAGGCAGCCAATCAATGATTATCTCCACCATTGATGTTTCTATCTCCCTCTCCCTCTCTGAAATCAATCAAAATATATTTTAAAAAGAAAGAAGTGGGCCCAGCCCAGACATGGGTAACATGTCTGGTACACTATAGATGCCAAACAGACACCCCCCTAACAACCTCCCACCCAAAAAAAAGTAGATGGGGTTGGAAGTTGACTTTTTAAAAAATATATAAATTTTTTGATTTTTTAACAGAGAGCAAGAGGGATAGAGAATTAGAAACATTGATCAGCTGACTCCTGCACACTCCCTACTGGGTATGTGCCCGCAACCAAGGTACATGCCCTTGACCGGAATTGAACCTGGGACCCTTCAGTCCGCAGGCCGATGCTCTGTCCACTGAGCCAAACCAGTTAGGGCTAGAAGTTGGCTTTTAATAACAAAGGAGAGGGAGGAGGGCAGATGGAGTACAGGCGAGTGGTCTGGCATGCTGCCGCACTGGGGCCAGCTGTCTACGCAAGCTATTGCTGCTGCTGCACCTTCGTGGCTGCCTTGCTGGCGAGGTCCTGGGCCTCTTTGTGCTGCCAGTGCCGTTCTCTGCCCCCTCCTCGGCTTCCTTGGCTGTCTCAGCAAGGCTTTTGGAAGGAGCCTCAGCTTGCAGCTTGGCCAAGGTGTCCTCAGAATCTTGGTCACATGGCTCTTGAACCAGGAGACCAGATTCCTGGACAGCTCTGGAAATGGCAGGTCAGCTGGAGACCAGCCTCCCCAGCGGATGTCAGTCCAGCTCTGTCATCAGTTTACACAGTCGCCACCGTGTTCCTCCAGCACCACCGGCCGGTGTGGCTGATGTTCAGGGAAGGTGGTCCTGCTCTGGTTCTGCGGGTCCACAGGAGGGTCTTCCAGGGCATACACCGAGGGAGCAGTGTTGGCAGGAAATAGTCGGTTGGCCCAGCAGGAGTCTCTGGGGCAGGGGTCACCTCCCTGTGCACTGTGTCTTCCGCAGGACATGTTTGCTGTAGGGATTCGGATACCACTGCCAGAAGGCAGAGAACACTTGGTCCAAGGAACTCCAGAGCATGCTGTGGCCCAGAACATACTCCGCCATCGTCCCCAGTCGGGGCTGGCACTGCATCAGGGTGCAGGGGCTGGGGGGTGGAGCCATGCGGAGGCGGCACACACCACCAGGCTTGAAGCTCAGTCACCACTCTTCAGTGCCCACCGGCTGCTGTCACCATGAGAAGTTGTCCAATCGCCTTACTTACTTTTGAAGGTTTTCCCCTGCTTCTTCCTCTTAGCTCTCAGATCTGAAGTTTTCAGGTGAAACATTCTCCAGATGTTTTTAACATTTAAAAAAATATATATAATATGTTTTCAGTCCTTTCATCACTCTGGTTACCTTTCACCTAGACATCTTCCACCTTATCAGTGTTTCTTTTGAAATGTGATCCTGAGAACAAAATGTAATAATCCAGACAGACTATAATTAGTTCACAATACAATGAGCCTCCCGTTCTCTAACTCTCATGTTAGTCACTGTTTCTTAAGCTGTTGGTTTATTTTGGCAGTCTTGTCACAGTGTTGAGCTTTCAGTCAAATGCCATCAAGTCTCGTGTATTATATAGTTGTATCTGCCCATTTTATTCCTAGGTAATTAGTTTTTGAAATTAAGAGAACTTCACATTTATCTCTGCTAAACTATTAGGTCCTCTTGATTTTGTGGCAAAAACTTCCACCCCTTTAGTGAATGTATAGCTAGTGTATATTTTTCAAGAGGAAGGATAATGCTAGGAAAGCACCCTGGGGTTAGATAGAGGTCTATAGGGGAAGATGAGCTAATTGAGTGGAGAAAGTAAAAGTACTTGTATTAACCAGATAAGAGTGAATATGTGGAGCATGTTGAAGTACTTGAGGGGCAAATGGGAATAAAAAGTTATTGGAATGCATTAATCAGATGATGCCAATGAAAACTTTTAACTAGAGAGTAGCAACTCAGGAGTTATTAATAACGGGCAATGAAAAGATCCCAGAGACTAGAGGCCTCATGGAGATGTGCTGTGTAGAAGAGAACCTCTAGAGAGGGGGAGAAGTCATCGTTTATTGAGCACTTATGTAATCAGTTTACTTACATAGAGTATTTACTTTGTCCCCATAGTTTGATGTGGGGTTTGGATGACCATATAGCAATTTAATGGGCCAACTAAAGTTTTAAATACACTTTAGTATTAATCTGAACAGGGTGGAATCTGGCAGGCAATTGGGCCAAAAGAGGCCCAGAGTTGTGTTTTATTTGGTTGTATTTTTCTTTAAAAAAGGCAGTGGGCCCTAGCTGGTTTGGCTCAGTGGATAGAGCATTGGCCTGCACACTGAAGGGTTCCTGGTTCAGTTCTGGTCAAGGACACATGCCTGGGTTGCAGGCTCAACCCCCAGTAGGGAGCATGCAGGAGGCAGCCAATCAGTGATTCTCATTATCGATGTTTCTATTTCTCCCTCTCCCTTCCCTCTGAAATTAATTTAAAAAAATATATTTTCAGGCATAAAACTTAGTTGCAATTCAAGATACTGGGCTCCAGTTTTATTTGCTATTCTTTTCATGCGTTTATGGCAATTGCCCACTATCTTATACCGCTGGGTTTTAAATTGATCCTCTTTAAGTTTTAGTGCCCCTCTGAAAGGTAACCACAACTTTTCTTGATTTACTGATTTGAAGGAGGCAGAGCTGAACTGTGGTCCTTGCTTCTGCTCCCTACTTTATATGAGAGCTTGCTGGTTTGCTCAGTCTGAATCCCAAGTTCCCTAGACCTCTTTGTGAGTTTGTAAGTTTTCAGAGCTAATGATGTAAAAATCCTGTTTCTGTATGCATTTTGGTAGGTGACGTGTTCTTTGTTTTTGCCCATTCTTCAAGGATGATAAAGTGCCTCCTTCCTCTTATTTCCTAGAGCAGGGCTTGGCAAACTTTTTATCTAAAGGGTCAGATGATAAATGTCTTAGGCTTCATGTATGTGCTCTGTTCTAACATTCCACTTTGCCATTGTAGTGTGAAATCAGCTTTTAAGCCATTGACGATGGTGTGTTTCTATAAAACTTTTATCTACAAAAACAGGCAATGACTGGATTTGGTCCACAGGCCATGGATTGCCAACTCCTGTGTTAGAACTTCCTGTGATGGTGGAAATATTCTGTGTGCTGACTAATATGGTAGCCACCAGTCATGTGCCCCTTTGAGCACTTGGAATGTGGCGAGGTGACTGAGGGGCTGGATTTTTAAAAAAAATTATTTTAATTAGTTTAGGTTAACACAGCCACACACGGCTAGTAGCTGCAGTTTTGGACACTAGAGCTCCACACAGTGCCTTGAGCAGGTGTCTGGTGAGTGTTTCCTGCAATTAGGTTGGGGAATTACACTTTCCTTCTGTTGTTACCAATAGGATAAAATGATGACAGAGAGAACCCTGTTGAAGGAACGTTACCAGGAGGTCCTGGACAAGCAGAGGCAAGTGGAGAATCAGCTCCAAGTGCAACTCAAGCAACTTCAGCAAAGGAGAGAAGAAGAAATGAAGAACCACCAGGTTTTCTGTTTATGTTAAAGTTGTCAATGAGTAAAGCTATAGTCCCTAATCAAACTTTAATTTTGTTTCCAAGTTAATAGAAATAGAACAGTAGTATTTACTTTTTTAATGGTTATCATTAAATTTTAAGGATAAAAATAATCTTTGAGGACATCTTTTTAAAACTCTCACTTCTGCCGGAACCAGTTTGGCTCAGCGGTAGAGCGTTGGTCTGCGGACTGAAAGGTCCCAGGTTCCATTCCGGTCAAGGGCATGTATGTTGGTTGCGGGCACATCCCCAGTAGGGGGTGCGCAAGAGGCAGCTAGTTGATGTTTCTCATCGACGTTTCTAGCTCTCTATCTCTCCCTTTCTCTCTGTAAAAAATCAATAAAATATATTTTTTAAAACTCTCACTTCTGTTTTAGTTCAGAGAGAAAAGGATTATTTACTTAATATAGTTTGTTGGCATATTGATGGTCTGTTTAGGAAATAATTTGATTAGACTCATATCACATATTTAAAAATACAATTGTAGATGGATTAAAAATCCACATATAAAAAGTGAAAAACCTTTCAAATTAGAAAAAAATTTAGGAATATATATAGACATTTAGCATATTAGCCATATATGGCTAATATGCTAAATGTCTGTCCAGGTAATGATGTCATGTACCAATGCCTGGCCTCCCCTCCCTAGAGATGACTAGCCTCCTTGCAGTTTCTTTCTTTTTTTTTTTTTTTAATATATTTTATTGAATTTTTACAGAGAGGAAGGGAGAGGGATAGTCACAAACATCGATGAGAGAGAAACATCGATCAGCTGCCTCCTGCACACCCCCAGCTGGGGATGTGCCCACAACCAAGGTACATGCCCTTGACCGGAATCGAACCTGGGACCTTTCAGTCTGCAGGCCAATGCTCTATCCACTGAGCCAAACCGGTTTTGGCTCCTTGCAGTTTCTTCAGCCCAGGAACACAACTTGCTTTATAGCCAGGTGGAAATATTTCACACTGTAACCAAATGTCTGTGAATTGTTTTTCCATGCCTCATCTCATTTGATCCTCACAGTAGTCCTGGAGTAGGTACAGGTGATGCTTCAAACAACTGAGTCACACCAGCCAGGGCTATTTGTATCTTCAATTGCTAGATAGGAGACTCGGTGAAATCCTATTTTCTTTCCATTAGCCGAAAAATGGAGATTTAGAAAGCTTAGAAACTTGACCTGATTGAAAAGAAGTAACAAATGGGTGGACTCTGAAAATGACTTCAGGCTTTTTCACTGAACAGAATATAGTCAAACACTGCTGCAGTTAAATATTTTACCCATTGTTCTCCCTGCGTGATCTACAATAATAATCTACTTTGTGTTGATATTTACTGCTGTGTTGCTGAAAATTACCTGAAAGAGAAGTTGGGGTACTTCACTGGGCTGGAAAATTTTTAGCTAAATTAGAAAGCAGCTCTAATTAAACAAGTTTATTCTATATCTATAAAAGGCTAAGTTGAGACACATATAAAGCCCTTGCTAGTGCCAATTGGACGCTTGTGTTTCTGTCATTGTCAATTGTGAATTTGGTTGACACTTCTATTATAGAGAAGGGGCATATAGTGATATTAAAATATTTCTTCTAATTAACTTCCTTTGAATGTGCATGAATTTGTGCACCAAGTCACGAGTGTGTGTGTGTGTGTGTGTATAAAAAAAAAAAAAAAATCTCAAGTTGCAAGAGATCATTTTAAGCCAGGCAGAAAACCCAGAAGCCTCAAAACACTTAATTATATGTAATTTAAAACTTTTAATACAGTGAAGGACACAAAAAGTAAAAAAGATCAATGTTAGGCTAAGAGAAAATATTTGTATTACATCTGATGAAGGATTTAATATCCATGACATTCTGAGATTCAGGTAAGTTCATGGTAAAAGTCACATAATCTGCAGAAAACCAGGGAGGGTTATTATATTACAATAGTTCTCTATTGCTGCTGTAACAAATTATCATGAGTTAGTGGCTTAATTTATAGATCAGAAGACCAACATGGGCATCACCAGGTGAAAATCAAGTTATTAGCAGCCTGTAACTGAGGTACCTTCCCTTGAGCAAAAATGAAACTGTGACCCTTTGGTGTCCAACCAGTAAGCACAATGGCCAGGGCAGGTTCTTCCTTTTAAAGACCCATGTTGTGATTAGATTGGGCCTACCCAGATAATCCAGGATTACCTTCCTATCTGAAGATTCTTCCCATGTCACATTTACAGTTTATTTTCCCATGGAAGGTAACAAGTTTCAGGGATTAGGATGAGGAAAAGCAAATAGGTAATAAGTTTATGAAAAGAAGCTCGGCCTCACTGGTATTCATTTACTCAGCAACTAATTTTTGAGTTCCTAATCTAGGCTCTGAAGTGGTGAACCAAACATAGTCTCTGCCTTCATCAAATAGTTATTATCGTTGGAGGAGGTGTAAAAACAAAGAATGGGAGTTAGGGCCCTAAGGGCATAGCTCAGTGCTTGAGTGTCAACCTATGGACCAGGAGGTCACAGTTTGATTCCTGGTCACTGTACATGTCAGGGTTGCGGGCTGGATCCCCAACGTAGGACATGCAGGAGGTAGCTGGTCAATGGTTCTCTCTTGTCATTGATGTTTCTCTCTTTCCCTCTCCCTTCCTCTCTGAAATCAATAAATACATATTAGAGAAAAAAAGAAAGAAAGAATGGGAGTTAGGGAAATGCTTATTATAATTATCGATAGTTACCATTCCTCCTCCACCAAGGGATTGGCAAAAATGAAATAAGTTGTCAAGTGTGAGGAAAAATGAACTCTTTTTCAGACATTAGTAGGAGTATGGATTGTTATAACCTTTTGGGAGATGTTATTAGGAATTATTGGTTAAAATTTAAAATTGGACCTAGCAATCTCAGTTTTATGAGAAATAGAAGTTTCTGTTTGAAAGTGTGCACATCTATAGTGTTTATCACACTCATAGTTACAAAAAAAGCTGGTTTCAACCTGATGGACTCTTGTCAGAGAATGTTCAAATTGCATATATGCACATTATAACATTTGCAGCTATCTTGAGTTAGATCTATGTTTATTGACATTATCTTCATTTCAAATGAAAAAGAAAGCAGGATACAGAATAACATATATAAAACAACTTCATTTAAGAAAACATACAGAAAAACAGTGAGATACATAAGTATACATGTGTTTGTTTGAGAATGGAGAAAAATATGAAAGCACAAAAAAATGCATTGATTACGTTGTGGATGGAATTGGTGTGAATTAGGGAGTGACTTTATCACTTTTTTTGTGTGGTGGTCCATCTTAAATTTTTTTTTTGTTTTGTTTGAAGTTTTACATATATTTCCTTTTCCCCCAATTGACACCCCCCCCCCCCCCAAGCCATTCCCACCCTGGGTAAGCCTCCGCTGCCCCCGTGTCTGTGTCCATTGGTTTTGCTAATATGCATGCATACAAGTCCTTTGGCTGTTCTTTAACCCCCCTACCTCCCTTGCCATTTGTCTCTGGCTCTATTTTTGTTCATCAAATTATGTTGATCATTATATCCTACATATGAGTGAGATCATGTGGTATTTATCTTTCAACTTTTTTACTTATTTATAATTTAACTTCATGTTAATATATATATATATATATATATATATATATATGTATATACACACACACATATATATTCCAATATATATGTATATATATACACACACTTATTTATATTTGTTAAATAATGAGAAAAAAAATAACCTCACATGTAATAAAATAAAACCATAACAAAACAAAACAAGACCATATTTGTTAAAAATAACAAATTCCCACTCTGTGCAAGAATACCTTTCTCAGCATTCTTGACTGGTTCATTTAGCCTTTATTTGAACACCAGTAATGGAGAGCTTATTGCTGTTCAAGTTTTTGAACAGTTAGAAATTCTTTCTACTCTTGAATTGAAATCTACTTTATTGTAACTGTCTTCCTTACATCTAAATACTGGCTTTAGGAGCCACTCATCAGCCAACTTCCTTCAAATCAACTTATTTATTTATTTTTATTATAGAGAGTAAGGGAGAAGGATAGAGAGTTAGAAACATCGATGAGAGAGAAACATCCATCAGCTGCCTCCTACACTCTCCCTACTGGGGATGTGCCGGCAACCAAGGTACATGCCCTTGACCGGAAACAAACCTGGGACCTTGCAGTCCACAGGCCGACGCTCTATCCACTGAGCCAAACCAGTTAAGGCTTCAATTCAATTTTAGTTTATTAAATTCAATATGTTAAATTGTGATACTTGAAAATAACTTTCAGACCAAAAGAACTAATTTTTTTCCTTCTTTGTTTGTATGTGACTGTAATTATGTGGAACTCAGGAGATATTAAAAGCTATCCAGGATGTAACAATAAAACGAGAAGAAACAAAGAAGAAGATAGAGAAAGAAAAGAAAGAGTTTTTGCAGAAGGAGCAGGATCTGAAAGCTGAAATTGAGAAACTTTGTGAGAAGGGCAGAAGGTAAATGATGTTATCTTCTATACTAATAAAAAGTAACATGCTAATTAGATCGGGAAACCTTCCTGACAAAGCCAGGGGACTCAAATGGCCCTCAGCCCCTCACCAAGGAAGGCCATGCCCCCAGCGGGGGCTCCCACCTCAAAGGGGATGTGGCCAGCCTGAAAACAGCGTTCAGCCCCTCACCCTGGCTGGCCACAGCCCCCAGCGGGGTCCTCCACCCCAATGGGGTCATGGCTGGCCTGCAAACCACCCCAGGTCCCTTGCCCAGGCTGGTCCCACCCCCCAAGGGGACCCCCACCCTGATCTGCGACCCCCTTCAGGGCAGACCGCCTGGCTCCCACCCGTGCACCAGGCCTCTGTCTATACTAATAAAAGGGTAATATGCTAATTAGACCGGATACCTTCTAGACAAAGCCGTGGTGGCAGGGCCACCATATAAGGACCATCAGGCCAGGAGGGGAGGGCATTTGGGTGTGATCAGGCTGGTGAAGGGGGCAGTTAGAGGCAAGCAGTACAGCTGGGGGGGCCAGTTGGGGGCAAGCAGGCTGGCAGTGGGGGGTTTGAGGGCAATCAGTCCAACATGGGGGCCAGTTGGGGGTGAGCAGGCTGGCGGGGGGGGGGCAGTTGGGGGCGAGCAGGCTGGCAATGGGGGCAGTTGGGGGCAAGCAGACCATCAAGGAGGGCAGTTGGGGGCAAGAAGGCCAGTGTGGGGGAGGGGCAGATGAGTGCAAGCAGGCCAGCAGGCAGAGTGGTTAGGGGCGATCAGGCAGGCAGGTAGGTAAACAGTTAGGAACCAGCATCCTGGATTTCAAGATGGATGTCCCCTGAGGGGTCCTAGATTGAAGAGGGTGCAGGCCGGGCTGAGGGACCACCCCCACCCCCACCCCCTGTGCAGGAGTTTCGTACACTGGGCCACTAATTAAGAATAAAAACCCTATGTGTATGTGCATAAGGGGCCATTCCTATTTGTATTTCTAGTTTCTTTCAGTCTAATTTTTATTTTAAATACAAGAACACAAATAAAAATCCTCTAATGAGTTTTAACTTTTCCAACACCCTATGTTAGAGTTAATAAAGGAACTTTCAGAGATTCATTAATACATGAAATAATAGCTGCTGATTGTTGGGTCCCGTTTGATTAATATTTTGATAGGCATCTACAATTTATTTTACTTGCTTTATAACCTGATTTTTTTTAAAGGTTCAGTCTATGAGAATACTTTGATTATATTTGTGATATTCAAAAGTAAATTTCTAATAGTTACACTCTAAGTTATTTGGAAAGAATTGTGTAGTGGATCTGTGTCCTCTTCTAGGTACTATAGCAAGAGTAAGATGGGCATAGGTTTTGATCACATTTTCTGTCTTTCAGGTTTCTTAGCTTGAGCTGTTTGGAAATCAAAATAGCTGTGAATACCATGATGACTTTATTTAAATTCTACTAAAATGTATTTTTGTTTATCAAGGAAATCTAATGTGTGAAAGAGCTAAGTGAAAAGTAGCAAGCTTATTTGCTAAATCATTTTCCAAGCATAAAAGATGATAATTGGGAAAGGTCAACATGAGAAAGAATGTTTATAGAAGAGGGCCTAAAGACCAATTAGTTCTGTGGAGAATCTAGTGATAATGATTAGAAGATGGGTTCATGATGATCCATATGGCCGCTATTATGAAAATGTATTACAAGCAGAACACTGTTCGAGGCTTTGTTGTCAATCCAAACAGCTACCACCTCTGCCCAACAACATGGCCTGTGCCATCGTCTTCATAGTCTCTGTAGGCACCTGTAAGCAACTTAGCAGCAGGTATCTTAAACGGCAGAAGGTGGGAAGGTGAGTCTGTAATTTTGAACTAAGCTCCATGAAAGATTTCCTTTTGGTGTGTACTCCATACACTACACATCTCTCTTCTTTACCATCTGATTGGATAGCTACAAATGGGGATTGGTAACTAACAGTTTGCTGCTTATAGTCTCAAGGATGCAGTTGGTTTTTTTAATGTTATGTCATACTTTCTGTCATTCTGTTGAATTTGGGGTTCATTTTTTCAGAAGTAGGGGAAGAAGTCTTTTGTGTGTATCTTTGTTCTAGCATTGGCGTATAGGTTTTATTTAGCATTTATTAAACAGGAATTGTGGGCACAAAGATTTTGGCCATTGTATTAGTATGCTCAGGCTCCCATAACCGAGAACCATAGACTGGATGGCTTAAACAGCAGAAACTTATTTTCTCATAGTTCCTGAGGCTTGAAGTCCAATGTCAAGATGCTGGCAGGGTTGAATTCTGGTGAGACCTCTCTTCTTGGTTTGCAGACCCAACTTCCTTCTTGTGTTCTCACATGGCCTTTCCTCTGCACGCACACTCCTGGTGTCTTGCTTCTTCCTATAAAGATACCAGTCCTATTGGATTATAACCCCTTCCTAATGACGTTATTTGATTTTAATTACCTCCTTAAACACCCTGTTTTCAAATGCAGTCACATCGGGGATTAGGCTTCAACATACAAACTTGTAGGGGGCACAATTAAGTCTATAACAGACATATTTGCCATTTGTAGCTCTTTCATGCATTTGGCTAACCTTTATTGAATATCTACTGTAAGTCAGACAGTATGGGTCTGGATAATCAAAAGCCCTCAAGGAGCTTATTGGTTAATAGGGGAAATAGGTAAATAAATGGATAATTACAAAATCACATAATGGTAATAGCATAATAAAGAAGCATGGGAAGGGGGAGTCAGAGAGGACTTTCCAGGGGAAATTATTCCAAAATTAAGTCTTAAAGGGGAAATAAGACCAGCAAGTGCAATGTATCATCCTTGGTTTGATCCTGCATTAAAGAAACTATAAAGGACATTTTGGAATAATTGGGAAAATTTGAATATAGGCTACATATTAGGTTATACTATCAGGGCTAAATATTTTGAATGTGATTATGGTATTTGTGATGTAGAAAGTTGTACTTGCTAAAGTTTTAGGGTTTAAATTTCAGGTGAATCAGAGAGAGAGATAAAATTAATGTGGCAAAAAAGTGTAATAACTGCTAAATCTAGAAAAAGGGCATCTTTGTTCATTGTACTATTCTATTAGTTTTTCTGTTGGTTTGAAATTTTGAAAGAAACATTTGCAGTGGTGGGAATTGGCCAGGCAAAGAATAGGAGAAAGACATTGCAGGCAGGGGGCCCTAGGGAGGTAGCAACAGATGTGAGGTGGAGAGGAATGAGTTACCAAAGTAGTTAGAAACCAGATCATAAAAGTCTTACTTGGTAGAGGGTTTGGGTGATGGAGATTTTGAAGGATTTTAAGGTGGGCAGGGTAACAAGGGATGAGATTTGCATTTTAGGTCTATGACTTTGACAGTTGGGAAGTGATTGGGATAGTACAGGGTACCCTTTAGAAGACCCGTTTGTCAGGACCGGGGTTAGAGTAATGGTGGCCCAAACTCAAATGGTATCAGTGGGGAGGCAAGAAATAAACATGTTTGCAAGATATTGGGGGTAGCACTAGTAGGTAGACAGGGAAAAGTTAGAGTAAGTAGTTGTGTGAGGCAGCAAATTCAGGTGTTTACCTATGCTATCATCTTGGTTTTTCCTGTTTTTTTAATTTTCTTTTTACTTTTTTAATATATTTTATTGATTTTTTACAGAGAGGAAGGGAGAGAGATAGAGAGCTAGAAACGTCGATGAGAGAGTAACATCGACCAGCTGCCTCTTGCACACCCCCTATCCGGGACAACCAAAGTACATGCCCTTGACTGGAATCGAACCCGGGACCTTTCAGTCTGCAGACCGACCTCTACCACTGAGCCAAACCGGTTTCGGCAAGGTTTCTTATTTTCTTATTGAGGCTTTTTGTAGCTCCCAATTTTATGGTAACTCTCTCTTTTTTTAATTTATTTTTGAGATAGTAACCCTGCAAGGTTTCTATCTCAGTTTTAGCCATCAGTATAGAACTGGCTGGGATTTGCCCTTCGACAAATAATCATTAAAAAAACAAAACAGGAAACTACTGTGATATTTACTACTTCCAAGTACTAGATTTTCTCCAGTTTTTGCCTGGTTCTTGTGTGTCCTGCAGTGCCTTCAAATAGATACTTCTTTACATTACGTTTAGAATTTATAGTTTTTGATCTGCAGGATGTTGGTGTGTTCAGAGCAACCCTGCCCTTATTGGAAGTGGGCCTCTCCAGATTTAGTTTTTAGGGGGCACGTCTGGTTTTACACGTTAGATGGGCCAAATTGCAGATAAATTGGAATCAGGAAGATAGAGTTTCAGCAAGATGTAAAGTGAGGACCTATCTGTGGCAAAGGAACCAAAGAGGGCTTTTCTGAGGCAGCGTGAGTGAGACGTGCGGATTGTTAGACAAAGGAGCATTGCCAGTGGGTGCCTGGGATGGTGAGCATTGGAAGTGGAGCAGGTTTAGGGAAGCACCTTTGAGGTAGAGGTTGTAAATTATTTTTATTTTGAACAGAGAAAGCCCTGGCTGGTGTGGCTCAGTTGGTTAAGTGTTGTCCCATGCTCTGAGAGTTTCCTGGTTAAATTCCCAGTCAGGGCTTGTGCCCAGGTTTTAGGCTCGATCTCCAGTAGGGAGTGTGCAGGCATCAGCCTTTCAATGTTTTTCTCTCATCAGTGTTTCTCCCTCTCCCTTCCTCTTTCTCTAAAATAAAAATAAAAGAATAAAACAAAAACATTTTTTAAAATAAGGCACAGAGAGAGAAGAAGAAAGGGAGTGGAGGAATGGAGTAAGGGAGAGAGAGACACAGAGAGAGAAAAGAACATTGATTAGTTGCTTCTTCATACACACTCCTAACTGGGGTCCGATCCTATAGCCTAGGTATGTGCCCTGACTGGGCATCGAAGCAGCAACCTTTTGGTGTGCAGGAGGAATCCAGTCAACTGAGCCACACTGGTCAGGACAATTTTTTTTAACTCAGTTTTATGGAGTGATAGGTTATATATGATAAAATTCACCCATTTTAAACGAGTTTTGACATATATGGTC